AACCCTATACGAAGCTTTTTGCCTTTTATTACCAACCCCTGTTTGTTAACCCTCTATTAGTATCACGATGGCCCGGGGACTGACCTATTTGAAGAAATGGTTGTTCTCCAAAAGTTACCTACCGATTAACTCGAAAATTCGTCAGATTGTTTCAATGATTCCTGGGAAGGTTTTTTCGGTATACATGTGGGTGGGTTTTTGCTTAGATTAACAGGAAGGCTACACTTCTCACCGGAATGTGTACCAAGGACGGATCTTTTTTTTAAATAAATTAATTGGAAATTAATTTTGTTTTGCATTTTATTTGTGTTTATATAATCATTTTTACTACAGCGATATACTTTTTGGTTATTTTATTTTTTTTTTTAATTCTAGAAGTTTAACATGAAATAGTTTACAGTAGTCCACAAGTCGCTGGACAAAACTAAAGCAACGCTTTCATTGCTGTGGAGACGTCTCCAGGCTAATATTTTGTAACAAAACCTTTACTTTGTATGACTGAAGTGCATATTTTAGGCATTGAAGATATGAAATTATCGATAACATCCTAAGATAAGCCGTCCTACCAAATTTTTCAGCTTTAAACAATTTGTCCTTGGTTCTACAGAGTTCCCAATTTACTTACATATTTATGATCTCCCATAAGTTCTCAATAGGGTTGAGATCAGGGAACGGTGCAGGCCAATTTAAAAAGTCTATGCCTTTACGTCTCAAACAAGTTTTACAATACTTCGAGGTATGCTTTCCATTTCAAAGTTAGTTAGCATATGGCAGGTTCACATGAAACGATCCTATTCATCAAATATACGATATCTTGCCCTGAGAAACAACCCTAACCTCAAATAATTTGAAAAAGACAAGGAGTTTAAAATAACAAAAGCTTCGTCAATATATATTTCAATATATTTTCTTTTATCCTACGTTCTTCCTTACAAATTTGGGATCCTGTTAAACAAATATGTAAAGAATATTAATAAGAAAGTTTGAAGCGCAATTTGGGAGTAAACAAATGTTATAACGGATAATTAACATATGTACTGCAATGAATCATTACACACTTTAATTACATCATTTATGAAAACTCAAGGGTGTTCTTATTGCACCACATATGAGTTTGTGTGCACGTAGAAAGGCAATAAAAATGCACTACCCCACCTGCTATACATGCGAGTACATATGTATATCAGGCCGTGTACAATAGTACATTTGTATATGCATTTTTAAAAGTATTTACATGCAATCATACGTACATACATACATACAAGGTGTGATCAGAAAATAACCATTATTTTAATTTTTTTGCAAAAAGTATTTATTTATTCATAAATAAACAACTTTGAAGGGGGCAATCAAAGTAATCCCCTTCAGATATAATGCACTTATGCCATCGTTTTCTCCAATCCACGTAACACTTCCGAAACGCGTTTTTTGGTAACGCCAATAGCTCCTGTTTCGAGTTTTCTTGTATCTCCTCAATCGTAGCGAAACGCTTTCCTTTCATCGGTGTCTTCAGTTTTGGAAAGTGGAAAAAGTCAGCGGCGGCCAAGTTTGGTGAATACGGTGGTTGAGGCATGATAACGGTTTTGTTTTTAGCAAAAAACTCACGCACAAGCATCGATGTTTGAGCCGGTTCGTTATCATGGTGCGAAGTCCATGATTGTTTTTTCCACACTTCTGTGGCTTTCTGACGAATTGCTTTGCGCAAACTTATAGGGAGTATTCCTTATTGACCGTACGACCTTTTGTGGCAAGAATTCATGAGGCACCACGCCAATCCAGTCGGAGATTTGATCAATATTTTCATTGGTTGATTACGTGCTCGGGCGACCAGGACGAGCATTGTCATTGACATCTTCTCGGCCTTCCTTAAACCGGTTATACCACAATTCAGCTTGTGTTCTGCTCACACTAGACTTACCAAACGCTACAGTCAACATTTCAAATGTCCTTACGCATTTAAACTCATTTTTTACACAAAACTTAATACAGTTTCTTTGATCCATTTTTTTGGCATAGTAAAAATTCGAAGAGCACACCACAACACGACTAACCTTTTTATCTGTCAAAAACAAACTGACAATCCAATATGGCTGATATTGCCAACCTATATAACAGACATGTGTACCAACTTATCATGAAATTTGAAAATAACGGATATTTCTGATCACACCGCGTATGTATATGCGTACATTTTCCAACACTTTGCATGTGCACAAGTCGGTGAAAGTGTAGTGAGTAAAGGTACACCAGGGATCGCGGTAAAATGACGAGAAAAAGGCGTGCTGCATAGCCGCCAGACTTGAGAGTGGCCGCCCAAATGTTGGCATTGCACGCAGCCAACAACTCAACCACCAATCAACAAACCAACAACCACTGAACTGACTGTTGGATAATTTAACGTCTGCAAGCTGGGGGAGCATGGCGACAGCCGGACGGACTGCTTGTCGGCTTGGTGAGTGGGTGACGAAACTTGTGGCTTGAAAAGCTCCAAAATATTTAACAAAGTAAAATTAAGCGGTTGGTTGGAGTGGACAGCGGATGTGCGCGAGTAACTGTTGCTGGCATAAAATGCTATTCGTTGTTATTGTATCCCCACCAGTTGTTGGTGTGCGCTGACAGTGTTGACTGCTTGGTCACTTGAGTTTTATCGCATGTGCTGTTACATGTCCTAATCACTCACACACACACACACACACACACACGCAAAAGCACACTGGCACACATGTAAATATGTATATATACTTTCTAACTTGGCTCGTATACCTTTTTGCATTTAATTTACAGTTAGTTGGGCTTTCGTTGTTTCGGTTATTATTCTGCATAAAATTTGGTGTGTCTGCGTCCTTCAAGTTGGCAGGTATATGGTATACCATGAATGCACATTTGCAATGTATTTATATTTCTAATTACACATTGCATGCTGCAATTGTAAAAGTTTGTCTGTGGGGAGGTGTTGGCACAGCTGTTTGCGGCTAACCGCTTCCTGTGAGAATAATTAAAAACGTTCACTTCTAAGTTTTTTTTTCGGTTTTTTTTGTTTGTTTGTTTGTTTTGTTTTATGAGTAATTAAAGCTCTAGACAAGAGACGAAATGAAATAATTTGTGAAAAAGAATGTAATAAAATAAAATTGTTCATCGACATCAGCGTCAGTGCAATTTGGATAATGCGTTGCTCATAAATTTGCGACGAAGCGCTTGAAATAAGATCGTCAGTAGGTGGCGCAGCTGCCGAGTTAAACAAGACGTTAATGGTATTTCTTCTCCGTGCTGGCCGTCACGTTTTATTACCCTACAGGAACAAATTAAGGGAGCAAAAACATATTATTTTAGTAATTTTGGAAGCGCTATATAACTGTGAAAAACTATCGTATGCAGATCATAAATATAGCAAAGCTCTGAACCACTAGTTTTCAATTTTTTTTTTTTTTTTTTTTTTTGCTAAAAGATTTTTAGAATTTGGCTTACTTATTGTGCATTCCCTTATAAAAAACATAAAAAGAGTAGATTTAAGAACTTTTTGTGTTTTTTCTTTGTCTATTTTCACGAGCTTGAAAAAATATTATACAGTCTGAAAATTTTTTAAGTTATATAGCCTGATTATTCACGTTAAATTTCTTGCTTTTAATTTCTCTCTACGATGATTTTTTTTCGAGTATCCTTTTGAAGGAAAAGCGATCCTTTTGACTTTAACCTCCGATAGCTCAACAACTGATTATTAGGCAGAGAATGCCAGAGCAGAGCAGTTATTGTAAAATGACGTATCGTTGTGTGTTTGAACAAATAAATCAATAAATAAATAAATTCGGAATCGATAATAAATTTCCTACAAGACTATTTCTCGATCTTTGCAAAAAATAATAATTTTCCTTGTTAAATTTTGCCTTAGAATAAGTGAAATTTTACGTAGTTGAAAAAAATCGGCTACATTTTTGCGAGTATTTCTTTGAATGGCAATCGACAAATCGATCGATCGAAGGATTTTCCTAAACCTTGTGATCGAGACTTCACAAAAAATGAAAAGCATATTTTGGAAACCTGAGTGCTCTGCAATCGTCATCAAAATTGAAAATATAATATTTTTAAACCTTTTTCATAATTAATCCACTGAGTTTGAAGTAAATAAAAATTAATTTTTTCATATTCATAAACTTTTTTTTAAATATTTTCATAATTTTTTTAATTAAAAAAATTAATTAAAAAAATTTTACTAAATTTTTTATTACCTGTCAGTCGACGGCATTTGAATAACCCAGAGAAAATTATTGAGCTCTTGACTGTGCGCTAAATTTATCCTCGTTTGGAGTGGAGATTTATTTTGAGTGAATTTTGGATATTTTTCTTTTTTGATTTTTTAAGAAATTTAGAAAAAAATATTCATTCTCAATAACCTTACGGTTACGCAAATACACGGTTTTAACTAAAATAAAAAGACTTATTTGTATCGAAGGAACTATTCGGCCGATCTTCATATCCTCCCAAAAAGAAAACAAAGTATAATATATTATTTATGCACTGTTTTCGAATGGTCAACATAAAATGCTTAAAACGATGTAGACTTCATTAGGTGGGTATACTTCTCCTTCCTTCATTGAGCAGCCACTGCTTTGAAATATAACAATTTTTTGCATTTTCGGTGTTCATATATTCACGCCAAAGACATCACTTTTTGATGAAATAATTATAGTCGAACTGCGCGCTAAGAATCAGAGCGAGTTGACAGACCGTTGTCCAACAAAAAAGGATTTCTCCTATAATAACCACTAAACTAAGCTATGCGGTAAAACGATTGGTGTTTTCGAACAACCCAGTTTATCATACATACATATGTACATAAGAGCACAACATATTCGCAAATGTATGGCGAAACATGTAGCTTTTATGCAAGTGTGATAACTCATCCTTAGACATGCCTCTTCATTCACAATACTTGCTCATCAACATACTTAAATTCTTTTTGTATTCATCATCTCCGCTTTCTCCCGTCCTCTATTTATTTTCAGCGAAGAGAATGTTTGGAAACTTTGTGAACAAGTGAAGAAAACACGCATCGATGAACTTTCCAAGTGCTACGCGGTGTTCGTGTCGAATGAGGGGCGTACAGTGCCGTTGTGGCGCCAAAAAGCAGGACGTGGCGATGATCAGGTCGTGATATGGGTAAGTAACAAATCAAACAGCAATATTTCATGTGTAAAGTTCGAAGCAGGAGGATGTAATAGAAGTGTGCTTACTTACTATGGGCGCTCGTAGAGAAGAAAAATGAAAACAAACAAAAGTGTTGAATGTTCAAATAAAGCGCAACACATTCTGTCGCGCGCAAGTGGCACTTGTAAGCGCTTAACACTTTCCCTTCTTGCTGTGCTGCTCGGAAGGCTGCTCGCATGTTGCTTTGTCATATCGTGCAGCTGCCACATTCAACTGTTGCAAAGCTAGTGTCAAATTTCGTATACGAGTATTCCTTGCCCTTACCATCTTCACACATTTGTATCTAAAACACTTTCGTGCTTGCTCTATTCTTCTTAGAAATACCAGTCGATTCGTTTTGTTTGCTTGTGGTGGTAGGGTGTAGGCTGTGAGGAGCTTATGAGTAAGACATAAGTGCGACGCGGCTTTACTAACACATACACACAAACTGACCTATATACCTACGTACATACATACTCACCGAATGAAGGATGAGTCGACGTAGAATTTGCGGCTAATGACACAATTGTACTAAAAAGCTTTAGGATTAAATACATTTCAAAATATTTTAATTATGTTAGCGGCGTGATTTAAAACATTAAACTAAAATATAGTAAACAAGAATTAATGGGAAGGACCACTCCGAGCCGTTCGATACCAAACGAGCATTTGAGACTTGGCTCCCACTCTAGGTTTTTACGGGGCAACTTGACGCTTTAAGGAACTTGGGGAGAAGGTTGAAGCCTTTAGGGGTAACAATTTTGAAGGCTTCAGCGAACTAGCAAGCGCAAATTTACGTTGATTGCCATTTATTAAAATAAATTAAATCAAGACTATCAAAAAATAATATAAAAAGAAAAAGAAAAATAAAATAAAACCAAATAAAATATAATAAAACATAATAAAACATAATAAAACAAAATAAAATAAAATAAAATAAAATAAAATAAAATAAAATAAAATAAAATAAAATAAAATAAAATAAAATAAAATAAAATAAAATAAATAAAATAAAATAAAATAAAATGAAATAAAAAAATGAACGAAATAAAATAAAATAAAACAAAATGAAATAAAGAAAATTAAATAGAATAAAATGAAATGACATAAAATAAAATAATGTATATATAATTAAGTTAAATTACGAAAACAACATAAAATAAAGGATAATAATAAATAAAGTACATAAAATAATATGAAGCGAATTAAAAACACCTGAATTAAATCATATTAAGTTAAACTAAAATCGAAATGCATTAAAATAATTAAAATAAAACTAAGCTAAATTATATAAAGAGTAAAAAATAAAATGAATTATAAAAATAAAATAATTTAAATTAAATAAAGAACTAAAGGACATGAAACATAATAAATACAGCGAAATTAAATAAAATAAATCATGAAAAGAATTGAAATAGCAAAGAGTGATTCTGCAAAAAATTTCTAAAATGGCTTATGGCCTAAAACAATTTTTTAAACACATAGAAAAATTTTCTCTAGTCATTGGAATTTATAGTGAAATCGCAAGTTTTTCTAATCTCCTTTTGAAATTCCATTTTACCACTGTATAATGTACGGTTAAATACTTGCCTTGGTGGCTGTTATCCTTTAAGAGTTGATAGTCCAAAGAATTTTCAAGCTATTTTTCGATAAATATGTTAGGCATATTCATGTACAGCAATGGAGGTGTTGTTAGTATTGTTCTTCCACTTATGTTGATGTGTGTTTATAATATTTGAGTATTCCATAGTCTGATGCTTTGAATTCTTTAACTATAATTTTTCGCTCAGCAACCGAATGGATAACAGTGACTTTTACTCAACTCAATAGCTTTCGGATATGAAAATAAAAGCTTCTCTCTCTTTATCCGGCGTAGTTGGTAAAATTATTAAATTGATTCTATTAAATCAGGTCGCAAATCTGGGAAACTGAAAATTGGTTAAGACAATTAAGAAATATCTAAATTATAATGGTCACGAAATCATGTCAAAGGTGATAGCCAAAGGCAGATTCTGTTTTAGTTTCACTAATTTTTACTTTTTTTTTGTAAACATTGGTTTTCGGGTTCGAGTGCATTAAATTTAATTTCGAATCATCTCTCCTCTATTCTGAGAGCTCTGATGTAAGCTCAAATGTTTTATCCAATCTGTTTACCCACCACCTCAAATTCTTGCTGAATGAATGAAAAGCACAAACAGATTTCTAAAACGAGAAAATTAGGACCACAAATGTAAAATCGCTTTCCTCACACAAGCAGTTCTCTTCAGTTAAAGGTCACATAGCATTGATTTGAAATATACTTAATTCGTAGCTTTTTTGAAAGCGGAACCGACAAGCTACGTCCTAAATCATTAGTCAATTACAATCGTTCGCTTCCAAACATTAAATTTACCATACAAAAGATGAAAGAAAAAAGGAGGGCAGGATTGAAAGGGCCGCTTAGAAAAGGCATAGCTGATTGGCCGGAGCGCAGCAGTGAAAGCAGCGTAATACTATTGCTCCTATTATAGAGCAGTAGTCTAAACCGAAGCAGCAGCTGGGTCAACACAACCAATCGGCCTCATCAATTATACATGAATTTGCTCTGCTAGTAGTTGGCCCGTTGGCAGACGGAGGGGGGTAGGATGGGCGTATTACATATTTCAATTTTATTAGCGCAAAGCAGTCAGGACTGTGCAACCATGGACACACATACATACATATTTGAAAACTGCTTTTAAGCAGAAGGTGATGCGATCCCAATAGTCTGCAAATTGGCTTTGATAAAAGAAACTACATTCGTAGAAAATATTTCTATGCGGTGGTGACAGAATCAATTAATTATCAAAAATCTAGAACATGATCTGTTGCTAAGATTCCAGTTTACCTAGGCAATGTGATAACTTCCAACCTTCCGAGCAAACTGGTAACTTACACCTCTTGTTGGTGCCTTTTACGCCTCGTGTCCGACCTAAGCAGCAGAACACCAATCTCTGGAAGTGGGAGGACAATGCTGTCGAAGAATCCATTCGGAAAAACTATATCCCATTTTGTTCGGAGTAAAAAATTTATAGAACAGTTGTTCCGTTGCTCGACTATGAAAAGTCCGAATCGCAATCGCCCGCTTAAAAAACAACAAAGTTGCAGGTACCGATGGATTAGCGGCCGAGTTATTAAAATACGACGGTGAAAAACTGATCAGCTGCATGCATCAGCTTCTTTGCAAAATAAAGTCGGATGAAGACATGACCATTGGAACTTAAGTGTGCTCTGCCCAATCCATAAAAAAGACGGTCTCATAATCTACGCCAATTACCGTGGAATAAGCCTCCTTAACATCGCATATTAGGTCCTTTCGAGCGTGAAAGTCCAAAACCCACCGCCAACAAACAGTGTGGCTTCAGACCTGGTAAGTCAACCATTGACCAGATATTCATCATGCGTCAAATCTTGAAAATGTGAAAAGAGAATTGGTACACCCCACCTCTTCTTCAATTTTAAACCCGCCTTCTATAGCACGAATAGGAGTTGCCTTTACGCCGTTATGTCTGAATTTGGTATCTCCGCAAAACTTATACGGCTGTTTAAACTGACCTTGAGCAACACTAAAAGCTCCGTCAGGATTGGGAGGCACATATCCCAGCCGGATAAAAAAATACGAAATGCAGAGCTGAATAGAGAAGGTACAATCTTCTATAAGAATGTCCAGCTGCTGACATACGCCGATGCTATTGACATTATTGGCCTCAGCAACCACACTGGCAGTTCTGCTTTCGGCAGACATGATAAACAAGCGAAGCGAATGGGTCTTCAAACAAACAGTCATCGCACTCGCAACTCGGCTTCACGTTACTGTTGACAGTCATAACTTTGAAGTCGTAGATAGTTTCCCCTATCTAGGAACCAGCATCAACACCAATAATAATGGCAGCCTGGAAATCCAATGCAGAATCATTCTTGCCAGCAGATGCTACTTTGGACTGAGTGGACAATTGAAAAGTAAAGTGCTCTCTCGGCGAACGATTACCGAACTCTACAAGTCGGTCATTATACCCGACCTACTATATGGCACAGTAGCGTGGATGTTGTCAATATCTGGTGAGTCGGCCCTGGGAGTCTTCGATAGAAAAATTGTATGACCATTTGCGCATTGGCAAGGGCGAATACCGCAGACAATGGAACGATGAGCTCTACGAGATATACGATGAACGAATGAAGGACGGCTAGGTCATGTCGTCGGAATGGATGAAACCATTCCAGCTTTGAAAAAATTCGATGAAGTACCCGCTGGTTGAAGCAGCGGAAGAAGAAGACCTCTACTTCGATGGAAAAATCATGCGGAGAGTCACAGATTTCCAGAACAGCGTAAGCTAAACGAAAAGCTACGAAAAGCTTTTGAATCTGTATGAATAGATATAGAAGCGATCAGAAGAGTATTCAAGTTTTGATATCTTCAGTGTACTTTAACGTGCGGATAAATGGTACCGAGAGCGCTCCGATTGCAGGGTCTTCGGTTATCAATTAATGAAGCGTCAATTCTGCGGTTCATAAACTTTTCAAAGAAGACAACACAATTGGGAAGTTATATAATTTTTTGCCCTTGCCTAGGTGGGTAACCTTACTCTTTTTTTGCGGATTGATATGTTTTCAACTGGAAAATTTCAGTTTTAAAAATATGTTTTTCCTAATTTCTTTCATATTTCATTGCACTGTGCTCAGAGCTCCTAGGCAAGCGTATTCTTATTGTACTTTTAAATCAGTAAACAAAATTTGGTAGACGAGGCTTTTATTGGTTGCACTGTTCCGAAAGGGAAAAGGAAAAGCACACATCAGCGCCCAAACCTCTACTCCGATGGAAGAATTATCCATTCCTCTAACTGCTTTGTCTGCGTGTTGTGTGAATATCCTTGGCTGCTCACAATTCTAGTTATGGGCGCATTGGTACTTTCGTAAATTCTTTTATGTGCTCGTCCTTATGCAACTATGATGCGAGTAGGCTGTAGGCCATAGCCTGTAGGTGTAATGATGCAAATCTCACGAATACACTTAACCTTTGCTGTGCATGCATTAATAAAGTCATATTGGCCCAACTAAGTACGAGTGGCCGCACACTTTTCGGAGCGAACGAAAAAACCCAAATGAAGAAAAAGAAAGTACAAGAAAAATAGCAATTGCACATGAATAGTCTAGCCTAAATGGAAAAGGTCATTTCAGTAGGAGCCTGAAAGCATTGGAATTACCCATGCCCATGTGGGGTTGGTCGGACGAGGGGTTGGCGAGCAATTGGTCGGTATTCGTGAGCTTTGCGAATACTAATAAAATAAAGAAATTATGTGCTTGATGGCTGACATGCTGAGGCCAGTAAAAGCTATGAAGGCGAGCCAATTTAATGGTCGACAAGGGAAGTTGGCGTCCATTGCATATTCACATATTGTACATATTTTCGTACTTTTCTTATTTGCCCTGCGAGTATGGCGTTTGGCATGTGGCATGTTATACGTGGCATGTGTACATGATGGCCGTTGGCGTTAATGTTCACAACTACAATAACATTGCATGCAAAAAATTTCATGCAACATTTACTTTTGAGAAAAAATATTATACAACATTACGCACTGACATACTTACATTTTTACATGCTACTTATTTTCGCCAAATACAAAGGAATATATAGCTGCATACAAATGTATGTATGTATGTATGTTAATATATGTTTTTAGGACTACAGTCTACACCGAAATGTTTCTCTTTCATGCCAGCCTTCGGTCCCCTTAGGCTTTGTGTTCTATACCGTCTATGTTACCAGCACCAACTCAGTCCTGTCAAACCCCGCAGCCAGCAAAATTAAAACAATCGTGAAAGCCAGCAATTTTCACCGACTTTTCTGCGTTGTTAGTAATTTTCTTTCACTCCGCTTGTGTAAATTTTTATTGTACTTGTATTATAAATTTCACACACTTGTAATAAATATGTATGTATGTATTGTACTTTAGTTCATTAAGGCTTTTTATGCAAAATTTTTATTTGTATTTTCTAATAACTTTACATTTAATTTCGTTGTTCCCGCAGGATTACCACGTCTTCTTCATGCACAACCCATCGCCAAATCGATGTTTGGTTTTCGACTTGGATACAACGCTACCTTTCCCCACATATTTTCACAAGTACGTTACGGAAACGTTCCGCTCGGATCTGGCGCTGAGGCCGGAACACCATAGGTAAGCAGCTTTTGGTTCAAGAAATTGTTGTTACTCCTTGAGTCTCAGAGCCGATGATCATGTAAAGTACCACAACAATTCTCTAACGACTTCATGGAATGAAATTTTGTGGCATGAGGCGGGAGACGTAGCCTCTTCCCAGGTGTTTTTATTTTTACTACGACATCATCAGACCAGAGCTTTCAATTTTTTTTCGCCGAAATTCCATGTACAATCACGACAAGACCTGTCGATTTAAATATTTAACCATCTCTGTCTGGATGTCCGTCCGTTCGTTTACAAGATAAGCTAAGCTAAGCTGCTTCAATGCCGAAAATTTTACGGCTGTGTAAGCTCCGCAGAAGATTATGCGGAATTTTGAAAGATTTCTTTGTGGCGTTCAATATCAAACGGGGCTTTCATATCGTAGCCAAATTTATAACATTGCGCCATTCACTTCTTTTTTTTTTTTTGCTATTGGCCCCAATTGGAGATACCCAGTTTGGCCAGGTTCCTCTAAATCTGGTGTTTCCAACAAAGCGGCGGCCTTCCCCACTCTCTACTTCCACCAGCGGGTCCTGCATCGAAAACTTGCAAAACTTGAATATTCTTATCCATCCGCATAACCTAGCCAGCGCAGCCGCTGTTTCTTGATTCGCTGAACTATGTGAATGTCTTCGTATATCTCATACAACTCATCATTCCATCTTCTGCGGTATACGCCGTTCGCAGCTCGTAGAGAGCAATAAATGTTACGCAAAACCTTTCTCCCGAAAATTGTTGGCGTCGACTCACCAGATGTAGTCATCGTCCTTGCTTCCGTACCATATAGCAGGACGGGAACGATAAGCGGCTTGTAGAGTTTGATTTTCGTTCTTTGGGTGAGGACTTTACTTTTCAATTGGCCACTCAGTCCAAAGTAGCATTTGTTGGTAAGAGTGATTCTGCGCTAGATTTCCAGACAGACATTGTTGTTGGAGATAATACTGGTTGCAAGATAGGCCAAGTTATCTACGACTTCATAGTTATGACTGTCAACAGTGACGTGGCAGCCGAGTCTAGAAATTTCGTCTTGTCCTCGTTTACTTCCAGACCCATATCCATCGCTTCCTTATCCAGTCTGAAGAAAGCAGATCTCACGATCACTTTGTTGTTCATTAAGCGGGCAATCGCTATGCAAACCACGCCATACACGTATTTTCCATCGTCATCGATTGGGATTTCGGGTTCATCATCTCCATTGTTGGCCAGCTTCTCAAGCTCTTCATACTCACGCATTTCGGCCTCTATCTTTTTTTTGTCTGCAGATGTGTCCGTTGCGAGGTAGGCAGCCTGCTTTCTCTCCACTGCGACACGGCAGTCCTTATCGTACCAGCTGCTTTTTCGACCTTTCCAAAATCCAATAGTTTCGTTTGCAGCTGTACGTAGGGAGTTTGAAATTCCGTACCGCAGTGGTGAGTGCTCTCAGAGTGCAGGGAGGCAATTCGAGTAACAAACAGCTCGGCAGTCTGTTGTGATTACTGCTTTTCGACGTCGAACTTTCCCAGTGTTTGTTGACGGGCGTTCTTTGATACAAGCAGGCGCGTGCATATCTTCGCTACAACAAGGTAACGGTCCTACTCGATGTTAGATCCTTGGAGTGTGAGTAAGTCAAGCACACTAAAGACATACCTTCCGCCTCTCACAACATGATCGATCTGGTTTTATGTTTTTCGTTGAGAGGACAGCTAAGTATCTTGATATATTTGCTTTAGCTGGAATCTAATGCTATCTGGCTCGAAGTCTTGGTCTTCTTAAATGTTATTTGTAGCTTTCTTCTTCTATAAATAATACTGAATTCATATGCTAATACGAGTATGTGTTTATTTCTCTCCTTGCAGGTACTTTAGAGTTATATCCGCAGAAACATATCTAAGTGAATTTTCATCGGACCGGCGGCACATGCGAAGGCCAGATGGCAGTTGGATAAAGCCACCGCCATCATATCCGCCCATACAGTCCAACAGTAAGACATTCCATTCGAAAATTACTTTAGCACTCGTTATTTGCTTGAATTTGATTTTATTGAATTTCAACAATTTCATTTAATAATAAAATAATTTCATTTGGTTGATTATTGCAGGCAATGCACATAGTTTGGGTGATTTTATCTGTATGAATGCAGGCAAAGGCCCCGGCACCGTGTACAGCCTCTCAGAATTTGTGCAAACCTTCTACAAAGCGCCGAATATGGTGGCGCAGCAGAATAACAAATAATATCAACAGTGCTGAACAGCCATAAATTGAAGTGCCAGTCAAGTTAACGAGTAGAGAGAGAGAGAGTAATGCACAACGCCGCCGTTGCGCTGGACATTAAGAAGGAGAGTGAGGGAGAGCGGACGAGGTCGAAGGAGTTGGAACTGGACCAGATGTTAACACTTTAGCATATTCATTTAGTCGCAGTAAGGAGAGTGTCAGTGGTGCGGTAAAGCGCATTCGCCGTCAACTGTAAGGTCACATTCAAAACAACATCAACAATAACAGCAGCAAAGGCAGATAAAAATGAACAGAATTGTGGGCAACGTAATTACATCTACATATATATATATATATATATATACGTATAAAGGCATGTAGATAGTTCCAAAAGCCATAGTAGCCAGCCATCATCGTCATCATCATCATCGTAAACACATTAACTTCAGCAGTACGCCACCATTTGCTCGCTTGCACTTAGCTTTCGAATGGCGTTGTGCACGTCAAAAATGTGCAGCTGCAATGTCACATAATTTGCATACAATTCGCAATCGCCTTAGTTGAAGCCAAGCACTGCAAACTGATGCACCTGCCAAGCGCTCGTCCAGCTGATTTCCAAAGCATCGATTTGGTTTCTTCATTCTTTACGACTTGAGGATGTTTCAGCTATTCAAATCAACCAGAGCAAGCGCCGTCGTCTCACCTCGTAGCCCGCTACTGCAGCTTCAAGTGGAATTCTTTTGCCAGCATTCCGAATAAATACTTTCAAAGTATGCGCTATGCCGAAGAAAAGTTCCGACTTTGATGCATGCCATTGCATTATTGAATTATTGAATTACTGATGTATTGACGTTGGTGGCGGTGTATGAATTGAAATTTGATGGATTCATTGGTTTTAATGACTTCACTTGATGATTTTTCTTGGTTGCTTGATTGGAAGGGCAGTTGGAAGAGCGCAGCAGATGCATTGTTAGCTGTACATCTATAGGAATTTCTCATATACCTATGTACATACATATAATTATTAAAGTTTGCGTGTGATACGATATGGAAGGCGCTTAAACCAAATGCACAAGCAGCGGCACTATGGGTGGAGTGTGCGTCGAAAGGGGAATAGAGCAGAGAGAAAACACTTTGTAATCAAAGATAAGACAACATTAACTATTAAATATTAAATGACAATTTAAATCAGAAAACAAAATAACATTTACAAATAAACTTAATATCTAATATAATATATAGTTAGTTATAAATAAAGCATTAACTATTATGACTACAATTAACAGCTGCTTATAAAATTTGTAAAAAAAAAAAGCAAAAACAAACGAAAACATATGAATATTGTAATAACAATGATAACGTATTTTTGTATTCAAAGGCATGCTTTAAAGGCAATTAAATAAGAAAAATTGATATTAACTAAAGACAAAAACATATTCATGTTTATAATTCAACGTTAAAAATCCATAAGAATAAACCTAACAAAATCTGTTGTATAAAATTTATAAAGCAACATTTAAATGGAAATGTACATATATATAATTTATACCAGTTTTTAAATTTATATGTTAGTAAAGACTTTTAATTATTTATATATGTATATTTCTTTTTTTTTTACTTTTTCTAACTTTGCTAAACCACATATGAACAAATGTTTGAACAATTTTGTAAAAAATAAAGCTTTATATGAATTTGAAAAACAACTATGTATCAAAAATGAAAATGATGCTGAGCGCACTAAAATATGTTACAACAAAAAAGAACCCAAGCAGAGCAGTATATGCACTGACTTCTTATTAAAGGCAATTTATTATGAAACGAAATCTATATTACACCATCATCACCACCACTATTTTTTAATCAAAACATCTTCAATATGCTAGCATAAGCACTGCGTTTTCTCCCTATATAATATATGTATATAAATAAATTTAATAATAATAATATTTAAATACTAATGGCCATTCTTTCGAGTGCCTGTTAATAGCTGTGTTCGCTGAGAAATGACTCTAAAAACCAGCAAGTAACGAAATTGAGAGAGTAAGTTTTTTTACACTTCGAAAGAAAAAAATTTACTGCGTTTTCAACGAACTGGATCCAGTAAAAATTAGCCAACAAATTGTACATCTGCTGTGTATTTTGGCGATTAAATTTGATTACGTACATTTATACAGTTTTTTATTTTTGGTTTTAAGTATTTTCTTAAGTGTTTTAATAACATTGGCAATTATGTGACATTTTTTAGTTATAAATTGTATTCAAAATTTATTGTATTCCAACCGCGATGTAATTCTGAATGCTTTATAATTGTTTAATGACAAAGATATCAATGTGTTTTCCCAAAAAGTACTATAAAACGACGAGCTTGCTTTGCAACAATTTGTCGCTTAGTAAGAATGTCTGAAGTACGAAAATTAGTTTGAAATTTTTTTCCCTTGTAAGCCGGCCATATTAACTCAACATAATTATAGAGTTTATTTAATTTGATTTAAATAAAAACCAAAGAAGTTTAAGAATGCATTATTCTCATTGTTGCCGTAGTAGCAACTTTGCTTCGAATTTGTTGCGCGGTTCCTTTGGGCGTCACCGCTTTCTGGTAAATTATGGAAATATAAAATCAGCCGGTGTACATCTAGTACATAGTTATTATGTTATTACATATTCTAATTCTATGCCTTCCTAACTGCTAGTTTCTCAACAGAAGTCGGGTGGTGTGCGTGCGATGATTTCACCTCACTATCACCACATTTTCGTTTAACGAGTGCCTTTGCTATTATTGGAATCATTGATATTGTTCAGTTAAATTAAACAAGATTACATTTAACCACTTATTTTGTTGGCATATAATTCATATTAAAGAATTAAAATTATTTTAATTTCAACTCAGTTGTGTTCTGTTGACAAAAATTCAATCATAACATCTTAAATCAGCTGTTTTTACTGGATCAAAATTTCCCAGCACAAATTTGCAAACTTTCTCTTCAACTAAACGTCAAAATTGCGCTCTCTTGTTTCTCATTTTTTAATGAGTTTTCGGCTCAACGAACACAAACCTGTAAAGCTTGATAAAAAATGGTCCTGGCCATCTAGTCAACGAACAAAACTAAGGCAGTAAAATATAACGATATAATAAATTCGTTTTCATTTTCTCAATCTTCCGCTAAATGTTTATTTAATATTATATAAAAGGTGGCATTGTGTCTTCTTCCAACCTTACCTCAAGCAGCTCATGAATATAAAATGCTCGTCTAATTTCGATTATATTTACATATATATTATTGTAAAAGAAAATGAGTAAATTTGTGAATCATTCATTTGCTATTTGTAAACAGAATAAATGTCGCTGTCGAAAAAAAAGTGTTAACCAGTGTTTTGACCACCTTTTAAATTTAACAGTCACATACCAAAAAACAGACAGTTGGGAAAACAAAAACGTCTTTGAAGAGTAGTTAAATTTAAGCAGGCACTCGAATTGATTAAAATATAGAGACGCCTCTGTTTGCATATCATTCTTTCTTCAAAGGTTCGTTGTGAGCCATTCATATGTATTTGAAAAAAAAAGCAGTTTCAACAGAATTCAGAACTAAAAATTTTTTATATTGAAATTCGAAATTCAATGCTTTCAAATTTATGTAATGCAAGCCCTAATATGAAGCGTTTAAAAATGTACTTATCTTTCTTTAGTGAATCCCCACTGAAATTCAAAATTTGAAATTAACTTGAGCTTTGAACTGAGTTAATCTTTAGTTTCTTTATTTATAGAGATTGTTGTTTTTATTTATCATTAAATTGGATATGAACCTTATTGTTACTGGCACAGTGCTTTGCAAAAACTCTTCAATTGAATGCCTACTTACGCCCAGAAATAACTCTAGAAAAATAATAACACGGTGTTTGAAATTGTTTTTTCTGTTGAAAATAAAAAGAAAAATGTATATGTTTACGCAAGCTACGTTTTACTGTTAAATATTTCTGAAACTAACATTTTAATTTTAAAAATTATATTCATTAAAATCGTTCATTTGTTCATAGAATAAATGCTTATGGCATCAAATACACTGTGCGTTTTCGAAGTGATTTCTATATACATACAGATTTACACCTTAGTACACTCTTAAATTAGAACTTTAACAAATATTATATATAGATATTGCAATTATGTGTTGATAATCCAACTTAACCACACACACACACACACACATATTCCAATAATACTAAATGTTCCAAATAATTTAATCGAGATAAAAAAAATAAAAAAGTTTATTACGTTGTTCAGTAAGTCAACCAGTCTCCTACGAAAATAAATAACCTTTTCATAGAAATTATGAGCCTAAAGAGCAAGCGTTAAATTTATCTATTTACTATTTTTAAGTGTAAAGAATTTTTTTTTTATTAAATTTGTATAATAATATGATATTTATGTATTATATATTGATAAGGACAAGTGTATATACAAGGATTTTAACTTAATTAAACGTAAATAAATATAAAGTTTTTGCCACTATCGACGTTTCTTCCCACTACTTCTGTGCACTCCAAAAAAAAAAAAATAAAAAATAAAACACATTGCCTAGTGCAAAGTATAAAATAATTAAATTAAATGTTATCCTACCTAAATGTTTTCTCAAACTGCATAGAAGCGATATGTATAAACAATATGTGCGAGTATGTTAAACAATTATGTAAATTTAGAAACTTTTTTTGTTCAGTTACAACTTGGTTGTATGCATTTGTATGACTCAAAGACTGAATGTAACGCTAAATTTAGAAAATGGTGAACAGTGACATTTTTTTTTGTTAATTCAACTCTTTTTATTTAATTGATTCTCTTGTAATTGAATATAGTTTTAACGAATTTTATCAACTTAACAGTTGTTTTCATTGATACTTAAAATCGATAAAAGACATAAAAATATTTCTGATTATAGTGTGATTAAATAAAAACAGAATAAAATGAAAAATGTCATAATCCACGTGGCTTGATAGTATTTTTGTGATCAGATGTAGGAAAAAGAAGGAATTTGGCAAATATTTCTAGTAGCAATATACATTATAATATGAAATACTCATTATATAATTCTACATTTTAAAATTCTTTGTAAATACTTTCAAAGACCAGAGATTAAAAAATCTTTCTAATCGGTTATAATTGAAATGTTGCGCTTCTAAGTCCATACCTTTCAACTTACATTCAATATCTGTATAAAAGAATAGATAACACAGAATTTGGTGGATATTCCAAACACAAAACTTCATTTCCATATTGGATGTGGTATGATTTATACGATAACTAGTCAAACAGTTATTTTCTCTATTTTTTTTTTTTGATTATAAAACATGCAGCGAGTGAACAGCGCAAAGTTTTCTTGTTTAATTCTAAATAGACAATGCGTTTATAAGAGTTTTTTTTTATTAAAATTAAAAATTTAGAAATTCTGTCACTGTTAATTACAATGTGTTTAAGGAGCCGACTCGAGGCTTAAATGCCGCATAATTCTGTGCTTGTATTATAAAAAATTTATAAACTCCAACCAAATTTTTAAGAATAATTTTTTTTATTGATACTCTCTCTTCTAGATTTATAATACCAATAAAAAATTTTGTTTTTCCGAAAATTAATTTTGTTAAATAATTATTTTTTCTGATTATTATTTAAAAAACAATTAATGCCACATTTTCTCAGCGAGTTGACGGAAAAGGTTTTCTGTTATAATTTAATGTAAAAAACAAAAAAAATTGGAAACAATCATTTAAAAGTTGCCAAATGTTTGCAGATGTTAATTTCCTTTTTCGGAAAAATGGGTTGATGAAAGGCCCAAAAACTCAAGTTAACATTATTTGTACTACTTGTTATGTGTGTACTTCATATACTACGACTACTATTTATTATTATTGTACTATTTTTATAAACGCTAATAACAATGCATTTTAATGCAATTAAGCAAAATATTAATTGCAAATTAAATTATACATATTTACATAGTTACAGCATGTAGTTTATATGCTACAATGTGAATGATAACGAAGTTGCAAATCTAAATATTTCGTATAAATTTATATACAAAAATGTGCGTTTAAACTTTAAAAAGTAAAAAAAAAAATGTGAGAAAAAAACAACTAAACGGTAAACAAAATATTTAAATATAGAAAATATGTAAATATGTTTACTTAACTACGCAAAATATTAAGGAAAATCTCAAAAAATATAGATATTTGTAATATATTTAAAATTATATATTTTAACAAAACATTTTCACTGTGGAAGTCTTAAAGTTAAACCATAATTTTTAAAACACAATATACATATATATATATACAATACTATATTGTATACAATGATACATACTTAAATTAGGAAGAAAATGTTAAAGAAAAAATCGTCACTATTATCGTAAATTAAGCAGTTATTTGAATTTTTAAATTCAATTTAAACTCAATTGACAGCAGCTATGAATGATACATAAATACTTATTCAACAGTATATGCATATATTTATGCATACTGATATTAGGCTATTACTCACATTTGTTATAATGCGAATATTTATGTATACATACAATATATAAATATGTACTAAATACAAACTCTTCACATCTCGATGGCATTTCTTCTGTAGCTTTTCGCTTTACACACACCCACACACGGGTATGCGTGCATATATGTGCATACATCGTATATATAATATATTCTTTGAATTTTGCCT